AATAATATTTTTAATGTTAGAGTTGTTTTCATGTTTTTAATGAATGATACAACACGATATTGTTTTCCTTTTGTTTTTATCACAAAATATATTGTATTAAACACTTTCATTTTCTGAATTAGGATTAAAATAAATATTATGATTAGATATATAAAAGAAATAATATAATAAAATCATAAGTATTATCTAGATATTTGAAATAATATAATCCATAGGACTTTGGAGATATTTGATCATGTGGACTTTTTAATAAAAATATTATTTGGTCTAATGGGCTTTTTTGTTGACAAATTGTCTATCTAATATTATTCTTTATCCTAATAAGATAAAAATATAAAATATGAATAAATCTTTTTAAGATAATATTGAATAATTTTATGTTTGAAAACTGATTTTTCTATCAATCTAAATATAATAATAGTTTATTTTACCATCTCAAATAAAATAAAATTATTGATTTTATCCAATTTCGTAAATAATCAATTACATCATATATTGAATTTGGATTAAAGTAATTAGTTTTGAGTGGAAAGGTATTTAAAAGTGGAAAAAGAGAATTGAAAATGTAATGGAAAAAGATGCAATAAAATAGTGAAAAGAAGTAAAAGTAAGTACTTAGTTATATGCTTTATATGGTCTATTCTCTCTTCTCCATTATTTCATGGTTTCTTAGTTCAATCTATGAAAAGACTTAACTTTTAGAGCAAAAAGGAGAGAATTTGTGGGATTCTTGCATCACAAAGTGCATGTTAGGTCAATTCCACTTTGGCATAGTGCTACTAAAGTTCTCAAATTATAATTATAATCAAATATTATTCTCAAAATTCTCTCATCATTAAATAGTGTGCTAGGACTTTCTTGTTTTTTCTTTGCTTTTTTTTTTTTTGGGTTTTTAAAAGACCGTGCAATGAAAAAAAAATACTCTATAATTTATATAATATTAGTTTAAAACCTTCGTCTCTTAAACCTTTCTTAAACTAGAAGTTTCCACAAACAAGAGTTAACAAGACCACATTATTTTTTTCAAATGTTCGTAAACTTGTGAACTTATTTGCCGAATATGTTTATTGTAATGAGTTTCCTCTCACTTGATGATGAAAAGGTAAATAAAAAATAACTTTTGTTTCAATCAAATTGGCTTAAGATCCGAACATAAAGTTCTTTAGGTCTTCTAAAAACAATTGTTTACAAATACATCTATTAAATTGATAGTAAAGTTATATTTTAGAATAAAAATTAATTAAATTATTATGAATGACGGTTAAGTTTTATTGGTATTAAAAACTATATTTATTGAGTTCACAACTTTTTTCAATATATCATAATTTTTGTTTAAGAAAAAATAGAATGGTTAGTGTTAAATATAAGAAAATCTATTTAAGAGATTAATTTTTTTTTATCTTGATCTGTATTTATAATAGAAGAGATATAAGCTAAGTCCAAAATACAAATAAAAAATAATAATCAATTAACTAAAGATAAAAGATAAAAATAAAATAAACATAAAATATTTTTCTATACCTTTAATTGTCTTTATTCTTATATTAATCCATTATTATTTCTCTCATTTTGATATATTAATCAATACTCATTAGTTTATTTTCATCGTTTATCTGTTATACATATGCATCAATCAATACAAATTATTTTATTAGTAAATAAAAAAGTTTCATTCTTAAATTTATTTTACACGTCTCAAACTCTTAAGTCACCCTTATAATCCAATAATCAAATGGTCAACAATGAATTGTATTTCCAATGATGTTTTCTTATTTTCTTAAATAAATAATTAGTTCCAAAAAGATGTGTTGGACTTCTAAAACAATGAGTTGTATTTCCAAGGTTTTCTTATTTTCAAACAGATTTTTAAACTTGGATTCTTCTTAAACTCCATATAAATAAATAATTAGTTCGAGAAAGGATGCATTAGACTTTTAAAAGTGTTTTTTCTACAAATAGTTTTAAGCATAAAAATATTAGAAGATATTTTTAACCTTTTATATGTTCAACACAAACTTCAATATGCGTTTATAGAGAATAGAAGAAAAAGAATTGTGCTTCGTAATATTCAATAGTTTATTAAACTAATTTACTATATATTCAAAGTTTTACACGATTGAAAGAATGATAACAAATATACACTTGGATACACAACATGAAGAGTATTACAATAATTTTCGCACATATAAATCATGTTTTCTTGTTTCGTTGTTGTACCTTGTACTTCATCTTCGACTTAAACTCTTAGTATATCTTTCGAAAAATAGTTGTTAAAACTCTATACTAGATATCTCTTAATTATGCACATTTTGTATATCAATTTTAAAATGCGCATTCATCTTTTTCATAGCAAATGCTTAAAATAAAGTTTTTATAAGATTTTCAATGGATTCATCAAAGTGTTATCACCTTCATTTATATATAAGGAAACAATTCAAATAATATATGTAGATTTTGCAATTAAGCAAAATCAAACATAATTAAAAGCGTATAAGATAATTGATTTCAAATGGTGTATTTCATATTTAGAGATAAAATGATCATTGATCATTTGAAGCTATTCAAATCACAAATATATTGTTCATTTATAAAATCTTTTAAGTATATTCAATTATCTAGAAAGTTGTTTATTTATAGCTTGATTAAAATTCATTAGAACTAAATTTAAATTGAATTTGAAGTGCCAAAATGTTATTTAATAAAGCATTAGACAAGGTCCAATAGATCGTATGATCAAAGATATAAATAAACTTGTCTAAGGATCCTTTAGCTACATAAACACATATGTTAGAGACATTATATTTGATATTAATCCACATTACTTAAAATATTTGTTATCATGAAAATTATTAAGTAGTCTTATGTATATTAGATCGTCTAGTAACATGTATTGAATCATTTGATCCTAACAATATTGGATCATTTGATCTTAACGATAATGGATTATCAATTTGAGTCATCATAGGCCTAAGTTCTAGTTAAGTGATATGATATTAAAGGGATGTTTTAAGTTTTTTTTTGTAATTTTTATCTTTTTTTAGAATTACAAAAAAAACCTCAAAAATATCATTAAGATCATATCATTAAGTCATCGTCGACCTAAGGTTGAGCTTAGTTGATACAGTCCCATGTCAAGTCGAGAGGACTTGGGCCTTTGTCAAATTAAGTCAATACAGACTTAGATCGAGTTAAGTGACTCCTAGATCAAGTTGATTCTAGTCAACTTTGGTCGATGTTAAGATGAGGTTGCCAATAATGAAGTCAAGTCAAATGAACTAGACCTAGATGAGTCGACCTAGGTACAAATCGAGTTGAATTGACTTTATCCATGTCTAATAAACCTAATAGTCTAGTATATTATATTCATCTCATTGAATTTAATGTAATTGACGAATGAATTAAACCTATATTCAATCAAGATTTAATCCAATTTAAATTAGATTAACAAAAATATAGATCTAATTAATCTAGTTAAAACATATATGAATTATAAACCCAATATATTTTATAAGATCTAGATTGAACTTTGATCCATGACCATCCATTAGAAAATAACTAGATGGATTGAACAAGTTTATCCTTGAATATTGATGTGTAGGTTGATGATAAGGATGAATGCTGGTATTGTCGTGTTCATCTTCTAGGCGAGTATTCATTTCAAAGAAATCCTTGTGCATTGAAGCAGCTAAACGAGAAACTAAAAGTTAAGGCTGCATTGAAGGTAGCCTTATAGCAAGGGTATAATATAGCAAGGCTGAAGCAGTTAAACGAGAAACTAACAACTACTCATACTTAGAACCTACAAAAACTTCATTGTCATTTAATATAAGAATTGTAAAAAGAAGTTTTATTAATGGCAAGTCTCTTCAACCACTTCTCACGCTCTGACAATAAGTAAATATCACAACAGTTTTATAACTCGATTGCTTAATTAAACTTTTATTACATAGTCTTCTCTTTTTAGTTTTTCTTTGTCTTTTTCTTTTTACCTTTCTTGGATTGTTTTCAGTCTATACTATAAATCTATGTTGATTCTAATAATAACGATGTTATCACACAAATAAAATTGCCAACTCAATACTGAACATTATTTAAAGTGTTACGTCAACCTATGATGTCATTAGAGATTAAAATAAATAAAAAATTATATAATGGTAGTGATTAAAAAAGATTATAAATTTTATTTTATTTCAAAATGTAGAGAATGTACGATTGCATTGAGGAATTATATGTTTAAAAGATTATCAATTATTAGCTGATATAAATACATCTTCAACTATAACAAGTTCTCCCATTATCAAAACTTAGTATTTTTTACACACGCAAATTTTAATAATAAATTTAAGTCAATTTTTAACCAATTTATTGACATGTTTTGGTACTTCTACTTTTAAAATAATTGCAAATGACTTTTAAAGTAGAAGAAAAAATATTTACTTAATTATTGTGAATTTTCGATAAATATTATTTCAGTTTAACAAAATGAATAAATTATGTTAATGTTAAAATAATTGATTTAACATTTTTTTTCAAAAGAGTAGTTAGGTCAACATATCTAAATGTGCATTAGTTATGAATGACGTAAATCTTAAATTTTTTCTATTAATGTGGCATTTTTTTTTAATTGCACTCCGTAAATTCGTTACTTTCTTTTCGGTCTTTATAAATATGTTACTTTGATTTAAACCAATAAATATTTTAATTTTAATTTTAGTCTCAAAAAGTACAACAATTTTAATTTTAATCTCGTAAACAAAATATTTCTTATTTTAATAGCTGTAAATACATCACATAACGTCACCTGTTCAAATAACACTAATGCCAAGTTAATAATTATATTGATGTCAATTAAGAATAACCAATACTAAACAAAAACTAAAAAAAAGTCCCTACATAAAATGCAGAACAAAAGTGTTAAGTAAACCAAGATTTTATTTTTCGCATGTATCGATAATTTATAAAGAACTTATCCATTAGCAAGTTAAAAGATAGGCATATAATAAAAATAAACTGTGAAAAAACTAATACAGTTTATACCAATAGAAAAAGTAAGCTAGTGGAAAACTTTCTATTGAACAGAGCAAAGCAAAACAAGCACAGAAAACAGGACATTGATTCACAGCAAATAAAGGTGGAACACAATGATATATGAGAACATTACCAAAATGCTGAGAGACTTCGCCGTGACCAAGAAAGAGTCTCAATCAAATCCTCACTCCAACTTGCCCTTGTTCTATTCTGAGGTTCAAAATAATGGTCATAAATGTGGCAACCCTTGATATTGCAGACAGACATTATAGTTCATGCGACCACGGTTCTAATCTTTGAAATCCCAAAACCCTTGACATTGCAGCTATAATTACATCCATGGTTCGCTGGTCCGAGACTATCAATTACATCCACAGATGATTTAAAGTTTGGACCATACGACAAATTTTCACAATATTGACAACAAATTAAGAGGACTAAAGTGAGCTTAAAAATAACCTTAACTATCATAGCAGGTCACATGAAGTCCATCATGATACTGCTTTCAACCTAATCCATCCTAAACTCACCATCATTTTACGTTTAACACAGCAGAAGAAATTGGGAAGAGAAAAAAAATCATGTGGGCAGATAAAACAACAGTTTATCACTGTTGCAGAGTAAAGATTAGTATGTACTTAAACTTATAGTGACTAAACCTTTTCTTTACAGATAAAATCAACCTTATTTGAAGAAGATTAGACAACTAGCGAAAAAGAATGTTATAATCCTGTCATATCTGCAAATCAAACCAGAAGACATTATCTAGGTTTCATTACTTCTTTATTACTAGTCAGAAGTAACAATGGCCTCTGGTTTCGCAGTTAAATAGCTCCCAAAACCTTAACGAAAATAGCATCAAGAAGAAAATGTAACGTTATAATAAACAGAACTAGTATAGAGGAAAGGAACTTAACAGTCAAAATCAAAATCAGTGCAGAAACATTATCCTTGGCCTTCCAATGAATTCATTGCCAAAATACGTCTTATTTTGGAGGCATCCTTGAAAAAGTACATGAAACAGGCAACTCACAAGGGTTTCTGCATTTACAATTAACAGCTTCACCGCCCCCACCCTAACCCCCCTCAATACTGATGACTAAATATGACTAATACTCTGTTCATCTAAACTTCTTAGTCCTTGTATACTAAAAATTGTACATAAAATTTTCAAAATAAAAATGACCCTGCTGCTACAAACAACTTAATATATGAAAGATAAAGATTGAATAAATTACTGCAGATGACAGTGACCAAAAAAACCTCATAACCGACGCCCATACTTATTCATTTAAGCTCATAACTTTCTGTTTACAGATGGCCTAGCTTTTGCAGAAACCTCTGAGCACGGGAGATAGTGACCAGTTTTTGCATTTGAGAAGAGAAACTAAACTTCATTTTCATGAAATACATCAGACATTCAAAGGGCAGTGCTCAGGAACTTCCTTCTCAGAAACTACGAAAAGCCTACATTATGCACCGCAAGGCCCAGAGGAAAATTATATACAGTAGCCATCCAGTTGATGAGGGGGAAATATTATCCCTGTTGTTCGTCTATAGAAACACATTGACTAGCAGATTACACAACTGCAGATGCTGTTCTGCGAAGATCAGGTACTCCATTGCCATATTTTGCACTAAATGTTGGACTTCTCAAGCTGCCATGTCTTGCAGGCCTTGGCCGATAAAGACACAAGAGCATTTCTTCAAGCTTCTGAACGGTGTACTTTGCATATTTTGTGGAGCTAGCATCTTGCTCCACCAAAGGACCATAATTCTGCATGTAACTGCGGTATACAGGCACCACAGCTTGCACTATAAGCTGACATGTTTTCTCCCTCAGATCCCGTTCTGGCATTATCCAACTTGACTGCTTAGTATACATCTCATCAAAAACTTCATTGAACTTCTTCAACCTTTTCTTGACCAGGTCACGGGCAGTGGCGCGCCCTCCAGAGAAAAGAATCAACCCTTCCCTACTCAAATGTCCAGGAAGCTTTCCCCAACTGTCCCTCAAAAAGATTGTAGAGTAATACTCCTTATACTGTTCGTGCTCCCTCAGCCAAGAATCCCCCAAGAGTTCCCCAAGCTTTGTCCCTTTCAAATGCTTGCACAGATGCCAGTGATTGTTCATAGCAAAAAAGTGGGACAGTATAGGATCATCATAAGCCTTGATCCAAGTCTCTACATTCTGCTCAACAGCCTTCACAATGTTCAAAATCTCAGTAACAAGGAGTCTCTCCTGAAAGCTTTGGCGCTTCCAACTTCTGTGAATTATCAGAACCTGAGTCAGTATCGGCTTATAGTCGTCCCCAAGGAGCTTGTTACAGTAATCAGTGATAAAGCTCACCAATCTCGGCACATTGCCATCCCCTGGTGGTGGATTCGGCCTCTGCAACTCCACCTGAACAAAAAGCTCCCAGAAAATCTCCGCAGCCCCATCAATCACCCTCTTGATAAGATCCCTAGTCAAATTCTGTATCTCAACACATGGCCCACCACCAAAAAGCCGGTTGAAATCCAATCTCAACTTGCTCAACGACGCGAAAATATCCAACAACTTCAAAAGCTTAATGGGGTCCTTCTTACTCTCAGTAACTGTCTTCCCAAACTGAAGAAACGCCAGTATACCCGCTTGCGCAGCTATCTTCGAAAAGCAACCCATCCACACGTCCAATCCAATCCTCTCAAACACATCATTGCAAAGCTTATACTCAGCCTCAAACAAATGCTTCACAGCAAACTCCAAATGCTTCCCCCACTGAGCTATATACCCTTCAATGCTCTGCACGTCATTGAACTCCGACACAGAAATCTCAAGGTAATCCAAATTCAGCGCCTGCAAACTTGCCCTAACATTCGAACTCCTCACCTCAACATAAATCCCCACACACCTATCCAGCCTGTCATTGGCAATCAACCGCCCCAGAATCGCCTGCAGCTTCTGCACAACCGATACAGGCAGCGGCGACGGCGCAATGCACGCCATACCATCACCCGCCGCCGCCGCCGACATCGGCAGTGGCACGCTATTCTCAGTCAACAGCAACCTGAACTCATCCTCCAACTTGCGCAATGCAGCATCCAACAACCCACCATCGAGTTCACCGTGCTGCGATTCGCGAAGATTCTTCAATTCCTTCTTCAAATTCGCCAGATAAACCTGATCAGCAACGGAATTGTCCTCCAAATACTCAACTATGTCTTCCAACCACTGTATAGCCAACCCGCAATTATCCCCCAAGAACCTCAGCGCCTCCTGGAGACGTTTCAGTACCGACAAGTACCCGGCTATGTCGCTCCGGGGATCCGACAGCAGCGACTTCTCCAATCCATGGACGGCGTCAAAAACCTTGAGCACCGCGGCGGCGGGGCCCACAGCGCGGTTGATATGGCCGCCGACGGCCACCAGAGCGTCTCTCTCAGCGCGAATCGGCCGCACCGCCGATCCCAACGACGGTAGCCGCTGCCTGATTTCGGCCAACCTCGGTCCCGCTCTCTCCAAAGCCAACCCCACCGACTTCGATTTTTCTAAGCTGAGCCTCAGCGATTTCTCAGCTCTGACTAAATTCTCCATCCTAGAACCTTCCATTTCGGCGTCGTAACGGCTTCCAGATCTTCTGATTCTTCTACTTTTTCCTCTCGTTTACCTCGGAATCATCGAAAACATGTGTAACTGTGTTCAGACGAAGATTGAAAACCTTGCGTTTGAAAACAGTTTGGGAGAGTGAACGAGGTCGAGGAAGAGTAAAAAATCGAAGGGAAAGAACAGAGAAAGGGCTTTTCGCGATGAAGAAGACTCGCTCGACGAAAATAAGGATGGTGAATGTTACTGTGGGAGAAAGCGAACGAGTTGACTCAGCAACGAGTTTTGAGTGAAAAAGGAGAAACGAAAATGGAGGTGAGAATCTGAATCTCTGGTTTGAATATGAGAGAGAGAAGAGAAACCCTAAAAGGAAGAAGAAATTAGAAAAGAATGTGTTGAACTGTTCAGAGAAAGAGAGAGAGAGAATGTGGCACTTTTTGAGGGTGTGGCACAGAGTGCATGACAGAATGCAAAAATGCTGTTTCCCTCTCTGTCTATGTAGTTTAATTATTCTTCTTTCTCTCTCTTCATTTTTCCTGAATCTTTTTTTTTTTTCTCTACTTTTCCTCACTAAAAAGGTTTTCTATTTTTTTTACTTAATCAAAGTAAATAATTTAATAACCATTAATTCAACTGATAGTAACTAATACGGAATAATTTATAAATTTAATGATTTGGAAATCATATCAATAATATATCTTTTCATTATTAATTGTTTTTTACTGTGTAAACTTTTGGCCTATGGAACATAATAATCACCTTTATCTCTGTATCAAAATAATAGGGTTCAATCCAGATTCAACAAAAAAGCATAAGTATTTTATTTTAAGCTTAAATTTCGGTTTAGTAGTATTTTTTAGTTTATATATTTATGGCCATAATTTAATATTTTCTTTATTTTAATTTAACTTTTAAAATAAATAAAAAATGATGTGATTTTTCTTAAAAGAAATTAATGTAATATTTTCTGTTAAATCAGGATCAACTTTATTTTTTCTATTTAGTTTCTAAGATTGATAATAAACATATAAAGAGAATGAAAAAGAGTGATTGTATTAAAAAAAAAGTGAGTTTATCATTTCCAATGAACTCACTAATATAAAAAAATCATAATAAGTCTTTTAAAAAAAATACCGTCCACCTCAAGTAAAAAAAAATTGAAGAGAACATTAAATTATTGTTAAAGATATACAAAACAAAAATGTTATTAAGTCAATTTTTAAACATCATATACAATTATGATAGTATTTTTATAATTGTAATACCTAAAAGTCTACAATATCATGATTTGTATATATCATGTATTAAAATTATAATTTTTATAATTTCATGATTTTGTAAAATAAATATATAAATAAATTAATTTAAAATTAATATTATAAAATATATAATCCTTATAAAATAATGTAATAGCATAATAAAAGTAATTAGTGTTAACCACTAAAAAATAGTAATAATAAATAAAATAAAGTAATAAATAGATGTTTGATATTTTTAAAGAATATATTATAAATGTGGATAAAATTTCAAATAATAATATTAGAAATATTACATATTTAAATTTTCAATAATAATGATAATCTAATGGAATGGTACAAATATGTTAAATAAAATAGTAATATTATAATTTGAATAAACATCTAGAAGAAAAAACGAATGTAATCTTAGGTGCAGACTAGGTATATTGTAATATCTCATAATTGATATATTGTAGCATTATATTTACCGTAACATCCCATAATCTCATACTTAATAATTCATAGTTGATATAT